GGACACGATCTTCTGCGTTCCGATGAAGTCGTCCTCTTCTATGTTCAGTAGCGAAGTCATACTCATGTCAAACCAACGAGCTATTTGACCTTCTGTGTTCGCAAACTAGAACAGTCATTTCAAGGAGGCATGACCTGTTCTCAATGTGAACGGCTAATAACTCCTTCCTGATTACATAATAGTTCTTCTCTGGTTTTGACAATGCCTTGCTGAAGTAAACTACTACTCGTTCTCCATTCTGGATTTGTGATTAGGTACCTCAGACTCCAGTGTTGCTGGCATCTGCATCAACTAGGGTCGGCCAATATCGTAGACTTGGTCATTTTCAGTGAGTCGGTGTAATGGTCTAGCAAGATCTGCGAGTCTTCGAACAAATCTTATGTAATAGGAGCACATACCTAGGAAATTTCTTGATTGATATGTGTCCTTTGGAATAGGCCAGTTTCGTACAGTTTCAGTTTTCCTAGAATCAGTTTTAACACCACTTGCTGATATAATATGACTCAGGTATTCGACTTCTTTTTGAAAAAAGTTGCACTTGTGGGGATTAAATTTTAGATTAGCTCCTTTAATCTTCTTGTAAATATCATCAATGTTCCTCGCGTGTTCTTCAAAGGTCTTGCCTAATATAATGACGTCATCGAGATATACAAGACAGGTCTTCTAGGTAAATCCTTGTAAAACGGCCTCTCTCTCAAAAATACCTGGAGCGTTACCAATAACCACTTTTGAGATCCAACGTAGAAAACCATTTTGCATTTGCCAGGATGTCATCGATTCTAGGTAGAGGATGACAATCTTCCTATGTTATATCATTTACCCTTCTGGTAGAACAGTCTTTCGTACTGACTAACACTACTGCTGAACTCCATGGACTGTTTGATGGTTCAATTACACCTCGATGTTCCATGTTCCTCTTGTTTAATGAGTGGAATTCTTCTTTGCCTTTGCTTAATGGACGCATGATCATCAGTGTTGATCTTGTGCTGGACTATGTTATTTCTTCCCAAGTAATCTCCCGATAGGGCTAATACATCTTCAAATTTAAATAAAATATTTGTATAGAAAGACATACCATCCCTCGGAAAGGAGGTAAAACCGTTGGACTCTTGTCTAAACAATATTAGAAAAAAAACTCGATACACAATATGGGGGTCCGGAAAAATATTTATGTTGGGGGTTGCTCGTCTCCTAGTAGTAGGGGAGCCCACGATGCTAAACAGGGATTTACTAGAGCGTCGTGGGGACCTATTGGATTTTGAAGATTAGATGGTAGAAAGAAAAAAGGTTATATGATGTATACCCTGTCACCGGTGGGGGAAGCGTCGACAGGCTTTCAAAAATGTAAAAAAAAACAGTGACATGGAAATACTCGGGCACGTCAGATATTGATAGTGTATACGCTCTACGTGTCTCCGATGATGGAAATATGTTAATCTGCCGATTTGGATGGTGGAGGCGGCCGTACGGAAAGGTTAAAAATGGGGAACAAAAAATTTTACTCTAGCGCGTCAGGTATTGAGAGGGGATGTTATGTGAACCCGAACGAAGCTCCCATTCAAAATACTGACGATTCGGATGTGACGCAAACTCGTGGCAGCTTTTTGAAAGTCCAAAAAAAAATCGCCATTTTGAAATACTCGAGCGCGTCAGATTTTCATATAGATGGTTCAGTTTGATGCCCTGGTCGTGCTGATCCATAATCTGACGATTATTTGGAGGGGTTTTCTTAATCTGACGGTTTGAAAAAAAAATTTTTTTCATTATTTTTTTTTTTAAATCACTGAATGTGACAAATAAAAAGCACGGAAAATAACATGCAAATAAAAACAAATAACAAATTTTGTTGAAATTTGTAAAAAAAAAGTTTTATTTTATTTTCTGCACACGTAAATCTATTTCTTTTAATTATAATACATATAAACACATATAATATATANAGATAGATAGATAGATAGATAGATAGATAGATAGATAGATAGATAGATAGATAGATAGATAGATAGATAGATAGATAGATAGATAGATAGATAGATAGATAGATAGATAGATAGATAGATAGATAGATAGATAGATAGATAGATAGATAGATAGATAGATAGATAGATAGATAGATAGATAGATAGATAGATAGATAGATAGATAGATAGATAGATAGATAGATAGATAGATAGATAGATAGATAGATAGATAGATAGATAGATAGATAGATAGATAGATAGATAGATAGATAGATAGATAGATAGATAGATAGATAGATAGATAGATAGATAGATAGATAGATAGATAGATAGATAGATAGATAGATAGATAGATAGATAGATAGATAGATAGATAGATAGATAGATAGATAGATAGATAGATAGATAGATAGATAGATAGATAGATAGATAGATAGATAGATAGATAGATAGATAGATAGATAGATAGATAGATAGATAGATAGATAGATAGATAGATAGATAGATAGATAGATAGATAGATAGATAGATAGATAGATAGATAGATAGATAGATAGATAGATAGATAGATAGATAGATAGATAGATAGATAGATAGATAGATAGATAGATAGATAGATAGATAGATAGATAGATAGATAGATAGATAGATAGATAGATAGATAGATAGATAGATAGATAGATAGATAGATAGATAGATAGATAGATAGATAGATAGATAGATAGATAGATAGATAGATAGATAGATAGATAGATAGATAGATAGATAGATAGATAGATAGATAGATAGATAGATAGACGGACGGACGGACGGACGGACGGACGGACCGACAGACAGACAGACAGACAGACAGACAGACAGACAGACAGACAGACAGACAGATAGATAGATAGATAGATAGATAGATAGATAGATAGATAGATAGATAGATAGATAGATAGATAGATAGATAGTTAGATATTTATTTGACCACTATTTACATACATTCGTACAAATGTGGTATGTCAATTTTCAGTTTAAATTTGAACTGTAAAACAGTTGATATTATTATAAAAAAAGGTACAATGTATAAATCCTAAAACAATTATAACAATTTTAACAAAAATCACACAGAACATAAAATTATACAACATGTCTACACACATTCGCACAAATTATACTCTGAACTGTAGAACCATTTCTGCTGTCATAACACATAAGTTATACAACATATAAATCCTATACAGAATTTAATAAAAAACGATATTTTTGGTTTTTTATCGTTTTATTAGCAAAAATAAAAAATACGGGTCCCCTAAATTTGTCTTAAGAATCTATTACCAAGTTTTGTTGCATTAATTTTGGGACAATCTGTACATAATTACAGAAAGAATTATCAAAAATTTGATGTTTAATAACACATTAATAGCGATTTCCTGGTAAACGGTTACATTTATCGGCTTGAACAAAGAGTACATTTTTTTTTCTGATATTGTTTCTCTTTTCAATAATGTTTAAATTTCTGCGATGTCTAGCAAGAGAAAAAAGTTAAGAACCAAACAAATTTTGAATTCTAGGTAAAGTGCCCTCTAGTGGCGCATAATGAAACTTTTCTCTGACTGGTCCAATAGAGCTTCATCTACTTAGTGGGTGTGCCAAATGAGAGACTAATCGAACGTGAATTAAATAAGTTATTTAAATAAAAAAATAAAATTAACTTGGACCAGCTGTAACTTGCAAACGATTGACAATTCGAAAAAATTTTTCATTACATACTGCTGTTATTTTCATCCATAGAATCACCTCCCGGAGTTTCCTGACGGAGTTTCAAAACAACATGTATTTCCCTGCAGCTGCACGCGCTAAACTTTGTTAACGATTTTTGTTGCTTCGGCTTGTGGAAATCGGCAGATTATATTTTTCCCGTTATCCTTGAATTATTTCCTTCAAAATAAAAAAAAATCGATCGCGCTCGAGAATGTCGAGGTGACGTTTTTTTTTGCAACTTTGTGACCTTCCGACTGCCTTACATCACGCTCAATTCGTCAGATTATTGAAATGCACACTTTTCAGCATGTAATTAACTCATCATATCTTAATCTGACGCGCTCGAGTATTTCCAACTATCGATTTCTTTTACTATTCTGATTGGCTGCCCTACACGCGCGGCCTTGTATAGAGGACTTAGATATGGTGGAGTTACTCAACAGGGTGCAAGGTATCCCCCATATGTTAATCTGCTGCGCTTGAGTAACTCCCAAAATCCCCTCTTGGGTTCCCCTACTATAGAGTTTAGCCAATAGTAGCAGAAAGATACCTACGTAAAATAAACAAAAAGGAAAAAGGAAAGAAATAGTTATGTAACAAATCTTGAACCTCTCCTGACATTCGACGAGTACAACTTGTCACGTGTATTGTCGCATTAAGAAAAAGCATATTGCAAATTATGTCATCTAAAATTTGGCACTAATGCTAAATCCATTGTGAGTACCTACATAAGACTGGCCGGAAAATGTGACAAAGTTTTTAAGTAAAAAATCTCACTCTATTTTTGGTTTTTGGTGCTCTGAATCCGAATTTGACATCAGATTTGCTAAATCATTTAAGATTTTAGAGATATCCTAGGTAACCTAAAAGTGCGAAAAAGAGCGTTTTTAATGGTAGTACTCATTTCGGTTTGCACATGGATTCTAAAGCATGATTATTTTGTAATAAAAAGAGTTACACTGTCAATAAACTAATTGTCGTGTCTTTAGATAATCTAAAAATTTTTTTAAATTGACAGCCATTGAACTGAATTATGTATAAAAAATCCTTTTCTTATGAGTAGTTCATGTAATTTTTATTTTCTTTGCAACAAAGCGCGATACCTAATTGCTCATAATTTGAAATAATGTGTTAATCATTTTTTAAATTTTCTTTAATAAATAGCAAATAATAAAGTAAAGTATTTCTGATCTAGTCCACAAAGAAAAGAATATTTTGATAATTATCGATGGCAACTCAATCAAGTATGCAATTAATTCTCTAAGAGTTTTTCTTTGTCATTTACTTTTTTAGAAAGTCGGATGCGACTACCAGTTTGACTCAGAGGCAGTAGAGGATGCTTGCGGTATTTGCAATGGCGATGGTACTCAATGCAAAATCGTGGAAGAAGTTTACAAAGAAGTGGCAGTCGGTATGTATTACATTATATACGACCAAGAATTCAAGCCTTAAACTTTCTTTAACTATCTCTTATCCTACATTATTTGGCTTGTTTTTATGTATTATTTGTTCCATAATACTAACATCGGCGCATCCGCCATTTCCTCGAAAATAATTGACTAGTAATCTTCAAACGAGATATTAGATCAACCTGAATACTTTTGATGAAAATACTTATTACACTTAAAAGTGGGGACAAATATGAACCCTGTTTCCATTTTATTGTAAAATTTAACATGCACAGAACTCTCCATATAATTTGTTCCACTTCCATAAATATCAGCATCTCATGAAAAAACACAATCAAAACGAGAAACTCGAAATTTCTTCTCATTTCGAATTCATTACTTGTGGGTACTCTCACCTCGAGGATTTCTAATGGAACTTTAAGGGAAGCTTAACAAGTATCATCAGCATCAAATCGCCGAAGAAAACATTTCTATGAATCCGAAAACTCACAACACTTCCTAAAATATACTTTCAGTACCTACATTTTTCCATTTCAGACTACAAAAAGGTGGTCACTATACCAGCAGGAAGTAGGAATGTTCGAATTGATGAGCTTGGGACTTCAACGAATACCCTTGCTATTTCCGACAAAACAGAAAAGAAATTCTTTCTCAATGGGGATCAGTAAGTAGTTTTTCATTTCAAATTTAGTAAAGCAAGTATCTCGAAGTTTTATAGTAGTGTCGTTATTACTTTTGAATTTTGTCTGTCTTCATAATATTTACGTTCTTGTTTTAGTAATGAGGAACAAGATGGTGAGAAGAAAATAGGGGGTGCCATAGGAATTTATTCTCATCCTGAAGCAGGCAAAGAGGCTCTTGTTATCAGTGGACCCCTTGCTGAGGATATTAACTTCTTCGTAAGTACTATCAAACATTGATTATGTAGCCTAACACTGTCAGAAATTTCAAGAAAAAAAACCTGTTTTTATATTACACAGGGTGAGTTAGAAAGAATGGGTCAACAATAAGCTGGAGATACTAGACACCAAAATATTATGTTGGAATTCATTATGCCTTATACGAATGTCGCTGGTTTAAGAAATACAGGGTGTTCAAGGTTTAAATTTTATTCTGAAATTTCTCAATAAATAAGAAAGTTTCAATAGCATAACTGAAAATTGGTAGTATTGGGTATTTTGGTGTGAAAATTACGAATTTGACGCTTATTTTGACGTTGCTCCTAGAGGGCACCAGTTTCGCTGTATTATTTAGGTAAATCAAAACATATTTTTTTATCTGCAGTAGCTTTTTGATCATGTGCATATGACATACCCTGTATAAGAGCAGTAGTTCTGGAGGAAGTAATAAATGGTTTTCGAAAAACAGGTATTTTCCCTGTTAATAGTAATGTATTCAAAGAAGAAGAATTTGTAGCTAAATCACTAGATACAAGAAATTTGGTTCCGGATATTGATAAAATTCCCTTAGCAGTAGACTACGAGTAGATGCAACAGAAACTGATTCCTCAAATTCACCAAACTTGATTTCTGATTTGATGCCTATCCCAATGCTAGCTGAATTTAGTGAAAATGATCTAATGCTGGCAAAGCTGTTATTGTCTCTAGTTCCCCATATAAAGATGAGTTAGAAATAAAGTCTTACCAAGAGGAATAACTCTTCCATATCTGGAATAAAGAGAAAAATCACTTCTTTTGGTAAGTCGAAGCAATTAGAAAGCCCAAAGAATGCTTCTAATAGAAAACAAAAACAAAACATTAAAAGTTATAATTGATGATTGCACGTCACTAACTGGTATTCTGCTGGTTGTTCACAGGAGAGTACAATTGACAGTGAAATTTACTACAACAAATTTCAAAACAATCTATTAAGCCGTTCTGGAAATAGTAAGATTATTTTTTATTTTATGAAATTGAGCACCTTGTATCTTGCAAGGAAGTATTTTGGAACAAAGGTTTATTTGACCAAATATTTAGTTTTAGCGAGAAAATGTTACAGTTAAATTTTTACACCTAGTTATGACTCACCTTGTATAATTTAATGTTTTCAAAATAAACAGCGCCGTTTAAACTACCAAGAAATAAATTTCCACGGCCACCCTATTTGTCCTATATATCAAGTCCTCAGATATGACCACCAGCCCCGACGATGTTGTTGCGGATGCGCCTCGGTGAAATATTACCCGAATTTTGAATGCATAACAAATTTGAAAAATAGAAGTCCAAAGTAAAAATCGTTCCTGACGCTGTTTCACAACGGTGGAGGCCTCGCGATGTCGCGATTTATGTAACGCCGCTCCAACGTGAACGTGAAATATTCTCCCTTGCGGCTTATGAAGAAAGATTTAGATTTAAAGTGTATCCTCGTCGTTGGCGGTGGTAAATGCAAAATACACACGGGGAGCTCAACAAATTCTTGTACCAAACCGGCTTCTTGTTACATAAACGCAAACAAATAAATAGATGTGGAGTTGTAGATGAATGCAGTGCGAAGAGATTTGTTTGAATCTAAAATATAGTATATACATTTTAGATAGATACCAGTGATATTTTAATAGTTCTTTTTTTATATAGAACGAGAAATTGTAATTTTGTGTTTAAGAATGGAAGTTATTTTGCCGAGCGTAAAGAGGCAAAATATTCATTCGCGTTGAGATGCAAACAATATTTTTTCGAAAACTGCAATAAAATAAGACAATTGTGTTATATACAACAATTTAATTTATATTTGAAATCGTTTGAACCGTGTTTGAATCAAGAGGCTTTAGGCGCGATGACTATCATAACGACAGCAGCCTAATAAACAATAAAAATTAGTTGTTTGAAAAAGTAGTATCAGAATTATATATTATAATTCATATTCTAAGTGTGTTTAATGTTTAATGTATGGGAAAAGGCACAAAGTGCTGTTTTACAATTAATCTCCGAAAAATCGACCATGCAGTGCGAGATTGTTTACAATGAATTCAAAGGGTGGTGAGTTTAAACAAATTTCAACAAGTGTCCGAAACAGTATTACTGGAATATTTGGAACATAAAATTAAACCTTCGACGTTATGGTCAGTAAATTTACTAATATACTAATAAACTAATAACATACTCAACAAAGCAAGTCAATTGAATACCGTTCCAAAAAGTCCAGAATTCTAGCGAAAGAGAAAATTGAGAGATTTTTACAAGAAACACCTGATAATAGATTTCTGCTAGAAAAGGTAATTCAAATTAATATAAATCGATAGTATTAACTAATTTTGGACAAATTTTCAGGTAATTTTAATAATTGTATGTATAATGTTTGTGGAGCTTTGAGAAGAGATGAGCTATTAAAGATAATGGTCGATCATATAAAAGACAAGATTCAATTACTATTATTATTATTATTATAAGAATTCCCGATTCCAAAAGTCATACTCTGAGATATTTTGTGATTTCAAGTCCAGATCAAATGAAGATATACCGTAAATACTGTGCTTTACGTCCGACAGATACTACAAGTCGAAGATTTTTTGTGAAGAATGTCAGGCAGAAAAAATTCAAATGCTTTAGCCGAAGTTCATCATCAACAACAGATTTCTCTGAATATTCAGGGCGTCACCAACGAATGTATAATCTAGAACCCAAATGGTGTCGATTTAACCAAACTTGCTTAAACGAAAAATGTCGCAAAAATAGTTACAGGGTGTTAAAGTTTCATATTTTATTTCTTGCTTTCTCCTTAACTCAGAACCCAGTTAATCGACTTGATCAAAATTTGCTGTTGTTTAGTTTCTCTTCATGAAGTATGCAGTGATTATGTTCCTATTAGGTTAAATCACACAGGGCGTTCATTTTACTACATCCCATTGCGAATATTCCTCTGTAACTTTTTTGTACTTTTAAATTTTTACACGCAATTATCAGAAATAGGTAGAGAATTTTATTCTATATAAAAAATGTATACCTATCAAAAGTCGAAATTATGCTCCGTTATAAGATATTACAGAAAATATTTATTAAAACATATCCCATATTTTTTGAAAATAACTACGTATACATAATAACATGACAATTTCTATAAGTCACTTGTATTTTGTATTTTGCAAAAGTTTGTTTCTGAAAGTGCCTCGTCACAATGAGTTTACGAATTATGAAATGAGAGACATGAGATTGGCATATTTACAGGAAGATTTTAATGAATGCGCTGCTAAGAGAACATATGAAGAACTTTATCCGAATCGTAGACATTGTTTGCTTCGTTATTCACCAAATTAGGAGAAATTGGAAACTTTCAGTCTAATTCACGAAATGGAAGGTATGTTCAAAGAGCAGAAGCAGTTACAATGTTTCCATTTTCACCCTGTACAAAATTTGCCTGAACTGGACCACCCGCTTAGATTAACATTTTGCGAACGATTTCTCCAGTTACATAACAGGGATCATGCTTTTCTTGGGAGAATTACCTTTACAGATGAAGTTGGTTAATTGGAAAAATTATAACGTGTGGAGCGAAGAAAGTCCACACGCAATAAAAAATCATCACTTCCGACATGAATATTCAGTTATTTTGAGGCCTATTGCTCTACCTGCAATGCTGAACGGGCAAAATTATTTGGAATTCCTTCGGCAAGAACTTCCTGGAGTTCTCGAAGAAGTACGCATTAATACTAGACGACAAATGTGGTTCATGCACGATGGTGCCCCTGCTCATTACAGCCATTTTGTGAGATCATTTAAATCAAGCATTTCCAAACCGTTGGATTGGTGGAAGTAGTGACTTTCCTTGGCCTTCTCGCTGTCCGGATTTTAATCCATTAGACTTTTACTTTTTGGGTCTTTTGAATTGAATTGTTTACAATTCTGTAATTCCTAATACGGAGAAGAACTTTGGGATAGAATAAAAGACGCCGTACGACAAGTTAGACGAACATATAATTTGTTTCCTATTCTCAATAGTTTCATAAAACGTTTAAGAAAATGTGTCGAAGATAATGGCGGATACGTAGAAGATTTATTATAAATTAGTAGACTTTTTATTAGTGCCACTTTTCAGTTTATTATGTTATTAATTATATTATTTATTATGTTTATGTTAATGGATTTTGAAAAATATGTTAAAACAATTATTTTCTGTAATACCTGTACTTTCATAACCGAGCATAATTTCGACTTTTGATAGGTACACATTTTTGTGTAGAATAAAATTTTTCTCTACCTATTTCTGATAGTTGCGTGTAAAAATTTAAACGTACAAAAAAATTACAGAAGAATGTTCACAAAGGGTTGTAGTAAAATGAACGCCCTGTATGATTTAAGCTAATAGGAACATAATCACTACATACTTCATGACGAGAAACTAAGCAACAGCAATTTTGCTCAAATCGGGTAACTGAGTTCTAAGTTAAAGAGAAAACAAGAAACAAAAAATAAACTTCAATACATTTTTTGCGACATTTTTCGTTTAAGCAAGTTTGTTTAAATCGACACCATTTGGGTTCTAGATTATACCCTTTAAGTATGTAACATTCGTTACGTGACACCTTATATAGATTGGAATTTTTGTAGACCATTTAACTGGCTCACAATTATTATTAAGCTTATTTACATTCTGTATAAATTATCATATTATGTCATTTTCATAACTGAAAATCTATGAAATACATTTGTCAATGGCGACTCAAAACTTAGATCGTTCGATTTGTTGTGAACCAAGCATATTTGCCACAATGTTGACACGTTGAGCGCCACCTAGTCTCGATGACGGCTCATTCACAACTATAATCTCACATGCGGGTCCAATTAAGACGCTAGCAGAGGATCATCCAGGGCAACCCGCCTTAAGCTGCGAGAGACAGCGCTGCGCGAGCGCTAAGCAGCTTTAAAAATAAATTATGTATGAAGGCTCGAGACGTATCCGTGCAAAG